TTTTTCAATTGGATTATTCTCCTTTATCTTGTTGTGGTGCTCGAGTATTTTATAAATTCTAGATATAAGTCCCTTGTCTGACATGTCATTACCAAAAACTTTTTCCCAGTCTGTGGCTTCCCTTTTTACCCTGTTAGAGAAGTTTCTGGATGCGCATAGGGATTTGATTCTTAGAAGATTGCTACAGATTCAAAACTCTTTCATGACTTCTTTCTTTCAGTGTCCACATCCAACAAAATACTGCATTCTATTACTGATTTTGCATTTAAAGTATCCTTAACACTGTCCCTTTCCCTTCATCCTCACAGAGAATACTCTAGTCAGGTCTCTCTACTGGTTTCCTTGTGTCTAGGCTTGCCTCTCTCAATCCATCTTCCTCATCCTTTCCAGAGTAATCTTTCTAAAAAGCAAGTTTATTATGTTGCTCCCTTTCCCTTGTTTAGAAGATCAAGTCCAGCTTCATGGCACAAAATATGTAGCTCTCTGTAATGTGATTTATATCTCCATCTCCTGTCTAATACTTCCCAACTTATACTGAGCTGTGACAGTACTCAAGACATCAGCCTGTTTTGTGCTTCAGGACCTTTGCTCACCCAACTGCTTCTGCCTGCAATGTCCTTCCCTTTTATGTTTATCTTGCAAATACCTACTTAACTTTGTGGATTCCACTGTAGCTTTTCTCAGCCTTTTATCTAGGGAGATTTTACTATATTCCTTCTTTATTTTTTTTTCATTTTATTTTTGTGTGAGTGTACCGTCAAATCGGATCTGACTGGTACAGGAGGAGATTGTCCCTCCTTTCCCGGCAGAGCATCTGGTGGATTCGAACTGTGCGCCTCTGGGATTGTAATTGCAGCTCCTTGCCACTAGGCCACCAGAGCTCCCCTACTATATTCCTTCTAACGTGTCTCCACTTGTACCAACTACATAGTTTGTCTAGCACCCAAAACACTTTTTTGCCCTTATTTAAATATATATCATTCCCTTCATAAACTTCAAGCTTCAGGAAAACAGAGCCTTTTGAATGATTGGCATCCATATCTAGAGGTCCTAGTACAGTAGCTGCCACTTAATAAATAGTAGATGAATGAATGGATACTTAATGAAAACAAAGCAGTGGAACAACTCAACAAGATTTGTTCTCATCATTTGCTTCAGTTTACAATTTGAAATTGTGAAAAAAAAATTATTAAATGCAGTATAATTCTTTGACCTATGTGTCCCTTTGGACTTCCATTAGACCTTATGTTTTTGAATTGTGGTGTGAAAGAAGAGTATTGAACACTCATTTACTTTGAGCATATTTTCAGAATGAACCAGTCCTTGGAGAAAGACATCATACTGGCAAAAGCAGATGGTCAGTGAAAGAAAAGAGGACCTTCAATGAAATGGATTGATAGAGTGACTACCACAATGGACTTGAGCATGACAGAGATCTTGAGGATGGCACAGGATAGGGCAAAGTTCAAATCTGTTGTTCATAGGGTTGTTATGAATTATATAGTCAACTTAATGACACCTAACATTATATAACACTCACCACACTACCTTATAATGTTATTTACATATCTGTTTCCCCTACTAGACCAAGAACTTCTTGACCCAGTCTTATTAATTTTTGTATCTCCAATGCATAACACAGAGTAGGTATTCAATAACTATATAATGAATTAAAATGAATACACTTAGATCAGGCTAACGAGGGTAATGTTTTTAAAAGGTCTAGGGATTTACCTCAATGAATATGAGAATGATTTCATCTTACTATATAAAAAAATACAAAGGGCTACCATTTGCACATTTCTTTTTTGTATTTGCTTAGCAAACACTTAAATATTTTTAAATTAGATTATATAAACTTCAGCTCAGTTCTTTTCTGAAGTATCATAAATTACAAAATAGGGAAGCCCAAATTAGTGAGACTGTGCCTATTTATTGTGGTTGATATTCATATGTACCCAGGCTTGGACAAGGCAGGGAGTTGTAGTGGCCTAGTCTATGGGGAGTTGTGCTGCTAACTGAAAGGCTATGCCTCTCTAATGGTTTAAATTCACCAGCAGCTCTGTGGGAGATAGGTGATCTCTTCCCATGCAATTCACAGCCTCAGAAACCCAAGGAGGGTAAGTGGGTTCTGACTCTACAGTTTTCAGACAAGACCGGCACTGGAAAACATTGATATAACTCACATAAGTATTATTGGTCCAGTGAATTTTCTTGTAAATGCCCTAGAGTTGTTTATGATAACTAGAATATTTTTAAAAGTCACAGTTATCTCAGCAGATTGCTTTCTTTTCTTTTAATTCCAAAGCATTTCTTTAGGAGACACAGTAAAGGGATGTGAACACCCTTGGCAGGTTAAAAAGGAAATGATGAGGAGGAAAAGACCATTGCTTGTGTTTTCTTCATTCTGTTGTTCAAATTATGGTTAACGCAGTGATTTTCTTATGGTATTTCCACTCTAGAAACGAGCTTACAAGAGCTATGTGCGAGCCCTTCCTCTACTGAAGAAAATGGGTATCAATTCCATTCTTCTCAGAAAAAGCATTGGAGCTCTCGAGGTGGCCTGTGGCATCGTCATGACCCTTGTGCCTGGGCGTCCCAAAGATGTGGCTAACTTCTTCCTACTTTTACTGGTGTTGGCGGTGCTCTTTTTCCACCAGCTGGTTGGTGATCCTCTCAAACGCTATGCACATGCTCTGGTGTTTGGAATCTTGCTCACCTGCCGCCTGCTGATTGCCCGCAAACCTGAAGATCGATCTTCTGAGAAGAAACCCTTGCTGGGGAATGCTGAGGAGCAGCCCTCCTTATATGAGAAGGCTCCTCAGGGCAAAGTGAAGGTATCCTAGGGAAATGAAAGTACAGAAAATGGACCTTTCCAGGCAGTTGCCTCCATGACACCCAGGAAGATGTCAATGTGTTTCTAACTTGATGTATCTATCTTGGGGGAAAGGGGAAAATATAATCTGCAAGTTAATGATCCTATTGGTTTGTGTACGTCTACCATAAAATGATTTCTCCACATAGACATATGTACACCACCTTTAATCACTCTGGGGCAACTCTCACATCTTGCTGCATGTAAATGTATATGGCTACTATTGAAGTGTATTTGTGAGGTGAACTCCAGCAACCATGTGACTGTAAAATGATGTGTGGGCATATGTATTTAACAACTGTGTATACACACATGCAAATGAGAAGGCTCTGATCTTGAACTAATCCAACACAGGTATCCTTCCCTTTAAAGATTTATTCCAGCGAAGGCAGAGTAAAACAAATCGCCTATAAAGAGAACTTATGTCTGGTGTAAAATAAGTGATACATTCCCAGGGAGGGAAAAATCCTTCAGTAGATTATGCCTAAAATGTAAACTGGCCATTTTAAGGGGGGGGGGGAAATCCTTCAACCTGAAACACTGAGCTATATGTAAAATGAATTGAGCTCTACATCAAATTGTTTAAATCTTTACTACTTTATAGTGAATTTAATTAAAACACAGTCAATATAGTCTTATTCTAGTGATAAAGAGGTTTTGCCTTTTCTTTGTCCAAGTCAAGCTAAAATCCTTTTACTTTACAGTTTGAAATTGAAGTGGTAAACTTGTTATTAAGCTTCTTCCCCAGCCCCGCCCTCTCCAAGCCAAAAACTGCCTCAATTCCACCATTCTAAGCAGCTAACTAGGATCTGACAGCTGTCTCACTGTTGCGGTTGAGAGAGAAGGGGTTAGCTGTGCTAGAAGTCTGTAAATCTCAATCCCTAGCTGTTCTCTGGAGTCATCTGAAATTTGATAGAGGAGCCAGATGCAGTGTTTTCTTGACAAAAAGGTTCACTATTCCTATTGATTCTTTCTCTTCCCAAGTGTAAGAGAGTTCCCAATCAGCCCCAGGGTTGTATACCTCTTTATCATTCTAGTGAATGGAGTTCTGCTGGGGGAAGGACATTTGGTAAGGGTTAATTAGTTAGCAGTATGGATATTTGCTTTCTTCATTACATACTGCTATTTTTCCTTGTTAGATGTTTGATGGTTTTAATATTATTGTGCCAGGGATAGGGAAAGGGGTGGGAGGGCCTGTATGTGGGGAGAGTACAATGTCATTGTTCTTGGTAATTGATACTTCTTTGTCTTATTTCCCTCATTCTTTCAAAATAAATTTTTGAAATTTGGAGGAAAGTGTCTGGACAAATACTGAAAATCTGAAAGAGTAATAATAGATTCAGGAGGTCTCTCTCTTCATTTTTTTAAGGCTGAGATAGTGTAAAATAGGGGGCAGGGATAATTACCTGGTAGGAAGTTGGACTGCACATGGTTCAAATCTAATCAGTAGCTGTTCCTCAGGAGAAAGATGGCAATCAACTCCTGAACAATTTATAGCCTCTGAAAACCACGAGTGTCATCTATAAGTTGGAATCAACAGGCTGACAATGAGTGAGAGTAATACTAATAAGGTTGTCAACTTTCCAATTTTATTGCAATTGTTTGCAATTTGGTGATGTTAGTATATAAGACAAAAAAGCCAAAGATCTATGATTCCAAAACAACTTCTGGGTTTGAAGAGCTCTGTTTCATTAGGTAAGGTAGAGAAATGATTTTAGAAAAAATTACAAGTACGTTAAGGTAAACCACTCTCTCACTATGTGTCTGTCCTCAGAGTGACATGAGTTAAACTTACAATGCCACAAACGTGTCATGTTAGGCAAGTTATTTCACTATTTAGGGTACCAGTTTCATCATCTATAAAAAAAGGAGAAGGTTATAACCTTAAAATCCTTTCTAATTTACATGTCTTTGAGTTCAAAATTGTTGTTATTGTTAAGTGCCCTCGAGTTGCAGGCGACTCATAGTGACCCTATGAAGGAGAGTCCTCGACGCTTCAAAATTATTAGAGGTGTGAAGAATGACTTGAGAAAATTTGTCTTACTAGTTTAGAAAGAACAGTTATTATTGATGTATTTGAAGAACCAACATAGCCTCAATCTTCACGCATGATTAAATGAGTATATGAAAGTGCTCTGCAAACCATATAAATGTAAGATGTAAACAGTCATTTCTAGGGCCAAGATGGCGGCGGCGGCGGGTGCAATGCGCGGGCGGTGCTGGGTCCGCGGGGCGCGGGGCTGCCGGGCGCGAGGGCCCGGGGGCTGCTGTGCGGGGCGCGGCCCGGCCCGCTCCCGCTCAGGACGCCTCAGGCAGCGGCGCTGTCGTCGAGGGCCGGCCAGTCGCGGGGCCGGAAGGTGCTGCTGTCCGCGCTGGGTATGCTGGCGGCGGGCGGGGCCGGCCTGGCCGTGGCTCTGCACTCCGCCGTCAGCGCCACCGACCTGGAGCTGCACCCTCCCACCTCCCCCCCACCTATCCCTGGTCGCACCGTGGCCTGCTCTCCTCGCTGGACCACACCAGCATCCGGAGAGGTTTCCAGGTGTATAAGCAGGTGTGCTCCTCCTGCCACAGCATGGACTACCTGGCCTACCGCCACCTGGTGGGCGTTTGCTACACAGAGGAGGAGGCCAAGGCCCTGGCTGAGGAGGTGGAGGTACAGGACGGCCCCAACGAGGACGGGGAGATGTTCATGCGGCCAGGAAAGCTGTCAGACTACTTTCCCCAATCCTGAGGCTGCTCGAGCTGCCAACAATGGGGCTTTGCCCCCTGACCTCAGTTACATTGTGCGAGCCAGGCATGGCGGCGAGGACTACGTGTTTTCCCTGCTGACCGGCTACTGTGAGCCACCCACTGGGGTGTCACTGCGAGAAGGCCTCTACTTCAACCCCTACTTCCCTGGCCAGGCCATTGGCATGGCCCCCCCAATATACAATGAGGTGCTGGAGTTTGATGATGGCACTCCAGCCACCATGTCCCAAGTGGCCAAGGATGTGTGCACCTTCCTGCGCTGGGCGTCTGAGCCAGAACACGACCATCGCAAGCGCATGGGGCTCAAGATGATGATGATGATGGGCTTACTGCTGCCCCTGGTGTATGCTATGAAGCGGCACAAGTGGTCAGTCCTGAAGAGCTGGAAACTGGCATATCGGCCACCCAAGTTACCCTGCCCAACACTGGCTGCTGTTCACCTCAACAGGCCTCCTGCCTGGGAGCTCTCCTGGGCCTGGTGAGACCTTGGCTAGACCACCCACCCAGACGCTTCCGTCTCTGAGGCGAGAGGGCAGGGGCAGACCAGGTTCTAGCCCCATTTCCTCCTTCCGCTCCATCATGGGAATAAATTAAATTTCTAAACAACAACAACAAAAAAACAGTCATTTCTATGATACATTTTTTCCAATACATAAATTTAATTTCTGGTTCATCATAAAAACCCAAGGAAATGACAATATAAGATTTTTTTTTTCAGAGTGGTAATTTTATGTGCATATAGGAAGATTTGGCTTCTAAAAATAAGTGGCTCAAAGTGGACTAGCTGAAATAGAAACCTTTGCATTCACTCAAAACAATATAATAATATCTGATTGTTTCATGATTTAATAAACATTTTCAAATTGGAGAAACACCAGTTTCCCTACATGTAGAAAATGAAGATAAAGAACATTGACAGCATTAAAGATTTCACCAATATGCAGTTTTTCCTTAATGTATACATTACATTTCGATAGTCACCAAATAATTAATAGTTACTAGTTTAACATTTAGAAGTGCTGAACATTTTACCCTTTGTCCATTGAAGGGAACATTGAAGTGGTAAGGAGCTGTGCTGCCAATCCGAAGGCACATGGTTCAAATCCACCAAATACTCTTCAGGAGAAAGATGGACAGTTGCCTCACATTCGGTTAATTGCCTCTGAAAACCTGCTGGAGGGTCAGGTACCTAACAGTAACAACTGGTGGCACAGTGGTTAAAGTACCCAACTGCTAACCAAAAGGTAGGTGGTTTGAACCCATAGGCCAATTTGCAGCAGAAAGTTGTGGCAGGCTATTTTCTATAGAGATTTTCAGTCTTGGAAACCCTCAGGACAGGTCTTTGAGCGTTACAATTTCCCTGTGAATCTGAATCTACTGTCCAGCAGGGGGATTTTGCCACTGTGAATCCTCTTACAATTCAACTCAAGGAACAAGTCTTTTTATTATTATTACTATTATTAAATTACAAGTTAAATTCACTGCCAAAACACCCCACCACTAAAAATCATGAGATGATAGGTTTATTGTCAACCCTTTTCTAAGGTGTTCCTAATTCAGGGTAAGATGAGGTTCATAGGGTCAATCACTAAGGGTCTTTAGCGACTGGATTACATCAAACAACCCTTTTCTGAATAACCTATGGACTGACAAGAGACCAAACAAATAGGTCTTGGAGAAGGTGTAATTAGGGTGCTTCTTGGAGGTGAAGATGGCAAAGTTTAGTCTCACATACTTTGAATATGTTAAGAGGTGCAAGTCCTTGGAAAAGGACATCATGTTTGGAAAGGGAGAAGGTGAGTAAAAGCATAAGACCCTCAGGGAGGTAGATTGACATGGTGATTGTAAATGGACTCAAGTATGTAAGAGATGGTGGGAATGGTGCAAGATAGGACAAGGTTCAGATGTGTTCATAGAGTCCTTGTTAGTTGAATTTGACTGGATGGCACCTAATAAAAATCCTGTTCTGAACTTCCCATGGATTGCCAAAAGAACAGAGAACTCTGTCTTGGAAAGAATGCAAACAACCAGGATGCTCCTTAGAGACAAGGATGGTGAAGTGACATCATTCTGGGAAAGGTAGACGATCAGAAAAAGAGAGGAAGACTCTCAGCAATGATTGTAAAAACATACTCAAGCATAACAGAGATCAGGAGGATGGCATAAAGAAAGTACAAAGTTCATGGGTCACTAACATGGTAGTCAACTTGATGGCACACAACAACAACAATACAATCATTTTCTACTTTAAAAAGAGGATTTAAAAACCTATAGAACAATTTCTGATATGGGTGGGTAGGGGGAGAAGGTTAAATCCCTGTGCACATAAAAAACTTTCTCCAGTAGAGGAAAAAGATATCCCACTGATTTTGGAAAAAAACATTTGGCAATGGCATTTCAGATAAAGGTCTCATAACCAAAGTTTATAGAATACTACAGTGCCACCACAAGAAAAAGACTGGCAACCCAAAACAAAAAGGGCAAAAGACTCCACAAATGAGGACATTCGGATAGCCAAGAAACATGAGGAAATGTTCAAAATTATTAGCAATCAGGGA